ATTACAACAAGTATTTTGTAATCTCCCTGCAAATCAAATCATCATTAGTACTTATAATTAATTACTCTAAAGATTTAGCTTTAAAGTAAAAGAAAAAACCACACAGACAACACATCAGATTAAGTGTTTTTTATTAAATTGAGTTGGCTGTTTACAGAAATTAGTAGTCTATATCGATGGGGTGCGCTTCTAAGAATTTGACGTCCGAGCAAGACCAAGGAGTGTGACATGCGTCCATAAAACCTTGACACCTCGAATGAAACACACCAGGGTCCCTCGGACGGTACGCGGGGATATTTGGCGGCTTGCTATGGAAACTTTGTCTATACCAAGCCTTCACATTATTTGAAGCAGAATCCGAAATCGATCGAAAGTCGGGTCGAAAACCGGAAAAAGACGAATGGACCGAACCGAAAATCTAATCTCCTAAAAAAATAAAAAATCCACATACCTTGTGCCACATTGGATTATTACTTGGACTGATTGATGTGGTACAATGTTTACATAAGCTACGAAGCTTAGCTTTTTACGAACAAAGCGTTATAATAAAGAGGAAATTCAGTGAGCCAATTTTGCTATTTCAGACCGAACAAGTCAGCTTTGCGCAAACTTTGTACCAGCATAAATCAGCCCTACCTTATATGGGCTGCTGCACACTGTCATGTTCCTCCACCAAAAGACAAGGGAGACTGGTGTCCAAAATCCAAAAAAGGCGTAGGTAGCGAAAAAAAAGAAGAAGTCGTAGAAGTCCATGATGACGAGAAGTTTTCCAAAGGTGAAGTTCGGCCGGCCAATTAAATTTTAATTATAACATTGGTGGCTGTCTCAACTAACATTGGACTACGCGACATTAAGAACTGCGTAACAAGGGATCAGACATGACAAACACTTAACTAATTTCAGAATTACGGCGACTTTTATGAAAAATTGAAAAGGGTGGGGGGTGTTCGGGGATGGATATAGACCCTTACGGATATCAACGTTAGTTAAGACAGCTCATTGAAGTTATTTTTATATGCTGTCTCCTCGGTCTTTACCTTGCCTTCCTAACGATGAAGTCGTTTTCACTATGATGTCATTGGCGTCTGCTTGCAACATAGCCAATTAACATTTTAGCGTGATTTTCTTCAGTTCAATTATGACCCTTAACCAAACGCAAATAAAATGAATTTAGTAGAAGCAGAATGACGTCTTAGTGAAAACGATCATCATCATCATAGTCGACGTCATCACCACCATCATCATCATCATCATTGTCTGGTTTGGCCCTATATGTTTCTCCTTCTCAATTCATCGCCGCAAAGGCAGCTACCTCGCCTACTTAATTAACTGGACTATCTTTCTGTACATCTGGAGGTTCTTTGTTCTTCTTTCTTCGGCCGGCCTCTTCCCTTGATGTAGCAATGGACCCACAATTCAACCACATACAATACAATCAAGCATACGATCAAAAGCATTTTATTCACATTTCCAAAAGCAACTATTTCTTGTTACAAGATTCAGGGAAAAAAAATAGACAGTGTGCTGCTTAAGTATTCACTCCCAGTCATGAAGTACTTTAAAAGCTGTCGGGGGTAGAACACTGTAGGCCAATCTCGGACCAGGATTAAGATAGGAACCGATAGCCACGAACGGTCGACGTGAAGACTACGTACGCCTACCATTTGTAGACGATCTGTGCCTGCGTTCTGCAATGCAGGGCTTCCTAAGAAGAAAACCCTCCAGCAAGGCAAAATTAACAAGAAGACAAACTAAATTGTCTTAATGTCAAAGATGCCACGCCAGAGTATCCTCTCCTGCTACTTACTGAAAGACTATCTATAACCTGCGAGGTTTTCACCTGAATGCCATTCAGGGGCATGCATATCAAGGTATGGTGGGCCTCCACATGTGTGTCCCCGAAATATTCGGCCTGTTAGCATTCTCGTAATTACTTCGCAGGCTACTAACGTTGCCTAAAAGCCGATCGGCTTGTTCGTGCTCCTCCAGCGGTGAAACTGCGTCGTAGATTGGTCTCGAAGACTTCCTACGCTTACGATTTGTAAACGATCTAGCCTGTGGTGTGTGGATTGTCCCATTTTTCCCTAGTAACCTGCCACAAGGTGTTGGCTCTTCGCGGGAAGAAACGCCTGGTCGCAAATTACCTTCTTTGTAAGACTAAACCTGTCAACTGATCTACCCTCACAAGTTCGAAGTCTGAAAATCAACGCGCATAAAAAATTTTCGTTTTGCATTCGTACTGTTTAACATGAAAAAAGGTCAAATTGGAATGGGTAAGAGCTGACTCGAATTTGTGAGACTAACCTGACTATCTACCTGTAACCAGAGAGACCATTGAGCTTGTAAGCAGAGGCCAAATGAGGTCCTCTCACTACAGCTAAATGGTCTTACGTCTCTAGTTTACTAAGTTACGTCTTAAAATAATCACTGTCTGGTTGAACCTTGCGAGTGAATGCTTCACTTGCCCAGCGCAATGACTATCAAGTGAAGTGTGATGAATTGAATTTGGCGCAAAAATAAAAAATCCACATACCTTGTGCCACATTGGATTATTACTTGGACTGATTGATGTGGTACAATGTTTACATAAGCTACGAAGCTTAGCTTTTTACGAACAAAGCGTTACGAGGAAATTCAATGAGCCAATAACGAGTCAGCTTTGCGCAAACTTTGTACCAGCATAAATCAGCCCTACCTTATATGGGATGCTGTACTCTGTCATGTTCCTTCACCAAAAGAGCAGGGAGACTGGGGTCCACAATCCAAAAAAGGCGTAGGTAGAGGAAAAAAAGAAGAAGTCGTATAAGTCCATGATGACGTAAAGTTGTCCAAAGGAGAAGTTCGGCCGGCCAATTAAATTTTAATTATAAAATATTGGTGGCTGTCTCAACTAACATTGGACTACGCGACATTAAGAACTGCGGAACAAGGGATCAGACATGACGAAAACTCAACTAATTTCAGAATTACGGCGACTTTTATGAAAAATTGAAAAGGATGTGGGTGTTGGAGGGATGGATATAGGCCCTTACGGGTATCAACGTTAGTTAAGACAGCTCATTAAAGTTATTGCTGTATGCTGTCTCCTCTGGCTTTACCTTGCCTTCCTAATGATGAAGTCGTTTTCACTATGATGTCATCGGCGTCTGTTTGCAACATAGTCAATTTACATTTTAGCGTGATTTTCTTCAGTTCAATTATGACCCTTAACCAAACGCAAATAAAATGAATTTAGTAGAAGCAGAATGACGTCTTAGTGCAAACGATCATCATCATCATAGTCGTCGTCATCATCATCCCCATCATCATCATCATCATCGTCATTGTCTGGTTTGGCCCTATATGTTTCTCCTTCTCAATTCATCGCCGCAAAGGCAGCTACCTCGCCTACTTAATTAACTGGACTATCTTTCTGTACATCTGGAGGTCCTTTGTTCTTCTTTCTTCGGCCGGCCTCTTCCCTTGATGTAGCAATGGACCCACAAATCAATCACAAACAACACGATCAAAAGCATTTTATTCACATTTTTAAAAGCAACTATTTCTTGTTACAAGAGTCAGGGAAAAAAGTAAATAAACCGCGTGCTGCTTTAGTATTCACTCCCAGTCATGAAGTACTTCAAGAGCTGTCAGTCGTAGAACACTGCAGGCCAATCTCGGATGACGACTAAGATCGAAACCAATAGCCACGAACGGTCGACGTGAAGACTACGTACGCCTACCATTTGTAGACGATCTGTGCCTGCGTTCTGCAATGCAGGGCTTCCTAAGAAGAAAACTCTCCAGCAAGGCAAAATTAACAAGAAGACAAACTAAACTGTCCTTATGTCAAAAATGCCACGCCAGAGTATCCTCTCCTGCTACTTACTGAAAGACTATCTATAACCTGCGAGGTTTTCACCTGAATGTCAGTCAGGGGCACGCATATCAAGGTATGGTGGGCCTCCACATGTGTGTCCCCGAAATATTCGGCCTGTTAGCATTCTCGTAATTACTTCGCAGGCTACGAACGTTGTCTAAAAGCCGATCAGCTTGTTCGTGCTCCTCCAGCGATGAAACTGCGTCGTAGATTGGTCTCGAAGACTTCCTACGCTCACGATTTGTAAACGATCTAGCCTGTGGTGTGTGGATTGTCCCATGTTGCCCTAGTAACCTGCAACAAGGTGTTGGCTCTTCTCGAGAAGAAACGCCTGGTCGCAAATTACCTTCTTTGTAAGGCTAAACCTGTCAACTAATCTACTCTCACAAATTCGAAGTCTGAAAATCAACGCGCATAAAAAATTTTCGCTTCGCATTCGTCCTGTTTCACATGAAAAAAGGTCAAACTGGAATAGGTAAGAGCAGACTCGAATTTGTGAGACTAACCTGACTATCTACCTGTAACCAGAGAGACCACTGAGCTGGTAAGCAGAGGCCAAATGAGGTCCTCTCACTGCAGCTAAAGGGTCTTACGTCTCTAGTTTACTAAGTTACGTCTTAAAATAATCACTGTCTGGTTGAACCTTGCGAGTGAATGCTTCACTTGCCCAGCGCAATGACTATCAAGTGAAGTGTGATGAATTGAATTTGGCGCAACTAAGCGGGAGACTGCAGTGACGACGACGACGACGAAAACCAGCGGTGAGTCCATCCGAAAAAGGCGCAAAAAACGCAGCCGAACCGTTTCCTAGAAGCCAAGCCGAATCCTGAAAGCCGAACCTATTCCTAAAAGCCGAACTTATGTCGCTGACCGAACACCTGCAAAGGAACCCAGCTTATAGAAAAGGGCAGGGGAGGCCCTTACCATCCCAGGGAACCCCGCTAACTAATCTAACTACAGTTAAGTTAAGCCGAAAAAGATATCCGAAACCTTCAGGCCGAACGTGTGTGGAAAGTATGCTTTGCAAGGTTCATCCAGAGCTCTATATACCCCCCTTGACCCAACCCACAAACAATGCACCTGACCTGTATCATTTCAAGAGGTTGGGTGTGCTGTGCTGATTTGAAGTGGAGCAGTCAAGGATGGTAGTCTGTTGGGCTGATCTGGTGGTCTGGTGTGGCGGTGGTTGTCTGATCTGATTGGCTGATTTTGGTGCTCTGGTCTGAAGATGGTCTGGATGTGAGACTCCTCTGATTGTCTGGTGTGGTAGTCTGATCTGGGGCGGATCATATGGGCCGCTGTGGTGGTCTGGTTTATGGTCTAATCTGGAGGTCTGCCTGAGAAAGATGGTCTCGTCTGACGGCTAAAAATTAAAAAGACGAGAAGCTGGGGAAATAGTAATGAAAAGGCTTGTAACGTGTCAGAGAGTTACGTAAGGAGACTGAAACGGAGAAAAAATACGGAAATACTTCATTTTTCAAATTCAGCTGCAATTGAAAACTCTCATGCCCTGAAATGGTTTGCAAAGACTCAATCAAAACTATATAATACAGGACTGTGCTGACGATCTTTATGAATCTTTTCCATTTGTAGTATGAATCGAAAATTGTAATGTTCATCACCATGGTAACAATCAAGGCTAGGCCGCAATATATTCGCGCGACAGATCGCGTGTGATGTAGTGACATAAGAGGTCTGTTTTTATCAGGGCAATTAAGCCAAAAACTGGCCAAATATAATAAAAAGTATCTGACTTGCGCAAAAACTGATGACTATTTTACAACTTCATTGCAAATTAAAAGTCATTCTTGATTCCAATCGATTTGATCGTCAATTGTCTAATTGTTAATCGTATGTAACTGTTTAAACTACAAACTGCATGTATATCTTGTTTCGACGATTCACTCATTTAACTACGGTTCGTTTTTTCACACGACCCTATTTGAATGTAAAAAACGAACGCAAGACAGAGCAAGACCTAAATAAATATCACATATTCAAACCTGATTTTAGTAGTTGCGCACGAGGAAGCTCAAGTAGCGAGTTTACAAAAAGAGTTGCTCGAAATTGCCCAACTAAACACGTTGGTAACCAAAAGTACCAAGTCACGTTTTCATACCACGTTAATGCAAGGTACTTTTTCTTTATTCTTTTGAGTATAAATGCTTGTATAAAATTTTGCGAAAAAAAAAACTTTAAAAAAACCTTCTACAAACTTTGAGGCTTTCCGTTAGAGCTTTTATTGTTCAATATCATTTAAAGTAGGAACGGTGGCCAGTTTCCGGCGAGGTTATTAAACTTCATCAAAATCTCGCTGTCATGTTGAATACTGGGGAAAAAAAATGAATCAAATTTGTCGTCTTTTATGGTGAATTACTGTCTGTGTCACCAATATGAATTTGGATGAAGAGCGAAATATGATTTGTTAGATTACTTTCTTTATCTAAGACTCCACTGGGCTTCGCTTGTATTTAAGACGGCCATGTGTTCGACCATGTACGAACTACACAGGGCTATCAAAGTTATAAACTATAAATAAATTTTGCTGAGTGTGGAGAACTGGCTTCGTGTCTACTCGCTATTTCTCCTCTGAGAACAAACTAGTTTAAAACGCGACCATTCGACAACAAATAACTTAATTTTTTAAGGTGGACTCGTCGGAACACAAATTTCAACCATACAGACGATAAATTTAACAAGTATAATTCACCTCGTTTGCTGGTTTTAACATCCCAGACTTCTTCGTTCATAGTTAGCTTTCTCTGAGAAGCTGAGAAAGACAGCTAGGCGAGACGAGAGGTTCTTGCCCGTTTCTCCTTCGTGACCAACCTTCGCCAGCTCTCACAACTGAAGTTTCCAATTTTTGAATGTGGCGCGGAGCAACGTCATGTTTGAGTTGAATAATAATTTCTGATTGGATTTTCTTACTGCACGTGCCTATGTAGCAAGAACAAGGATTGTTTACCACAAACACCTTTGGGCAAGCCATTTGGGACTTGTAAGGTTAATTAACTAACATTTCAAATAAATTCTTTAAAAAGGTCTTGGGGGAGTAAACCACGTAAGGCGAAAAATTGGCTAATTTATTTGGTAGGAAAGGAAAAACTTGCCAAATCGTGACATTTTGCTCCTGTGTATGCTTTGTAAACGAAACTTGACAAATGCTTGCTTGGCAAAATGATAAAGATAAAGACTTCCCATTTTAGTACAGGAGTTTGCGGTTTTTTGATGCAGCTCAACGTAAAACTTTACCCAAGGTTTTCAAAATCATTATTAATATAAGAAGCCTCAAAGGTGAAAGTAGGCTTTGGTAGATTGTGCTCGAAAAAAAAGCATATTATGCTTTTAGCAGTGCTCATATTTTTTAGAAATTATGCCAAAATTATGCTACTCTCTGAAAATTATGCTCTCTGTCACCGAAACTATGCTACTTAGATTTTACACTGATTTTAAGGAAAATAAAGATCATCAGTAGCTTGACTCTATCAATTTTGACTTTAATGAACATTCATATAGCCCACCTTTCAGTCTTACAGTCTTTAGCATGGCAAATACGCATGTGCGCACATGATCTTGCTTTTTTGTGACTTTTAACTTCTTTTTGCCTGCGGCATGTTTTTTGAAGCCAAGTGGTTTTTGAGAATGCTCTTTTTGAGCTCAATATCTCCTTACATCCATTGCAAAACAGTTTTCCTCCTCGAAGACACAAATTTTCCCCGGGGAATTAATTCTTCCATTCGATCACGAGGACTCATGTTCTTTGGATCTGAGTTACCTCTTTCCTTCTACTTTCTGGTATTACTTTTAGGAACACGTTCTCTCAGTACGGCGCTGGAAGTGGTGGAAGTAGATGTACTCGAGGACGACGCCATCTGAGGGGCCGAGCCGCCGAGCCATAAGCGTGGTGGCCTGAGTCTCAGTCTTATGCACAGGCTGACCTCTGCCGCCTGCCGGACCATATTTGACTATGGGCCTTAGCACAGACCTCAATATTTTCCAAAAACGATACAGAAATAAAATACAAACTGAATTATGCTAGAGCTATGATGGGTTTTTTTGTTTTCAACGCAGAAAAGCTCGGATTATACCAACAGTGCTAAACTGAAATAAAAGCTTAAAATAATGCTCGTTTTGCTGAATTATGCTTAAAATTATGCTAGCACAATCTACCAAAGCCTAGGTGAAAGTACTGAGTGTGATACAACAGCGTTAACGTAACAATGAGCATACCAGAGCAGGACGGTCTCATTTCGTTCCGTTTAATAAACTTTCTTTTCTCCGTATGACTAAGTTCTCGCTGTCAACGAGCCGTGTGCTTTGCATTTTTAGTGCGAGTCAATATTGGAAGCGAAGATTTTCCTAACTAGGTATCGTCTATTTTTTGTTGACCAATCAAAAAACAAGCATTGCACGTGGACGTAAAGTTTTGTGAACTGCATGTTAAACCCTTTTTTAATTCGATATAGCCAGAATTTCAGGAAGATTAACCAAACAGATAAGGTGTTTACAAAACTCAAGACAGGGACGGCAACGACACGACTCAGACTGAAAAATCATTCTGTCAAATCTGACGACCAAAACAACAACTTTTCACGTGCATCACACGTTTTGGTACATTTCTTGGCTGTCCACTGGACATAAACAATAAATGCGACATTTTCAGCCAAGAGGAAATTTTCAGTTTAATGGGCACCTCCTCATTGGGCGAATACGAGAAATGTCGCTGGATAAAAAAATTAAGTTCTTGTCCTGCCCACAGGGTAGTTATCTTAGGGTTTTTCGGTCCTCACCAATTTCAAGGTTGAAATCCGCAGCAGAAACGCCATACCTAAACTTCGGTCAGGTACCCCATCCCTGGGTCTCTTAACAGCAAAATCCCAGTCTTTATTATTCCTGGGCCAAGAACACGAAAAAAAACTAAACTAAACTAGCACCATGGGAAAATACTACTGAAGAGGTTTTATTTGAGGATTTCGTGAAAACACTTAAGAGCCAAAGGTGTGTCTTAAACAGTACAAGATTCTGGGACACTCCCCACCTACCTCTCTCCTAACCCGATGTTGATCGACACAGCAGATCGTTGAATTGATCATCCTTCCTTTAATTCTTCACTCCGCAGTTCACATATGTGATATTCATATATTCAAAACTTCATCATCATCATCCTGTCACGGGTTTATAACGAGCCAATTCAACGACCTGCCCCCAGTTGGCTTGTTAGCTTAATTAGTAGAGCGCTGCTCTGGTATGGCAGAGGTTAAGGGTTCGAGTCCCGTACAAGCCTGAATTTTTTTCAGGCTTTCTTTTCCCAGTTGCAAAAGATGCGTATATAACTGCGATTTTCATCCTTCATTTAATGAATTCTGGCAGTTGTGTAGTTAACTGACTGGGCGTCATCGTCAAAGTGGCCTATTGCATCGAACATGTGAACCATGCATGACTCACCCTATGCCCAGCAGCTTTAGATGCTGAGGGTCCTTAGCAAGATGTTTTCTGTGCATATAACTACATCTTTCTAAAGCAAGCTTGTAAACCTCCAAAACTTCACGCTTATCTCAAGTTTCCAAAAGAGATAATAATCCGCAAGTAAGCATTGATGAAAGCTCACCTTTTTTCTTTAGGCCCGCTTATGGCAATCATGTAAACCAGAGGTCATCAGATGTTTGCAAAGTTTTAAAATAACTTTACTAATACCAATAAAAAATCTTTCAGTGACCAAAAAACGTTACAAGCGATAGTTAAACGAAAAACAAATTTATATATAATTACGAAATATACTAATAAATGGAAAAACGGGCAAAAAATGATTATGACTTCTTCGCGAGAATTGACATTTATTAATAGTATGAATTCCCCGTTTGTAAACCAGTTGAGTTTTGCGACTTAAATCAATATATATTTTATATTAATTGTCTCGTATTTCTAACTGATTGTTTCCAGTGGTTAAATAAATAAGTATAATTCTTTACAGCAACCGACAACGGTTTAAAACTCGCTGAACTGAATGTTAAAATTTTGGATCGACCCAGTTATTATACAAAACGCGTCGGGGTATGCCCTTCTTCACTTTGTGCTGACCACTCGAAATGTTCGTGGCACTATTCACACCATCTTCAGCAGCCGCTGTTGGACTTTTATTCCCTACTTTCTCCAATTTGATGGTAGCGACTGCATTTCCGGTTTCAGTGGTGTGACCGGACTGATCTTGATGGTCCAAACTCATAAGCAAATCCGATGGTATGAAGCCAGGAGGGAGAGGAACACATCGATAATGTGGCGCTCGTGTCTTCTGTACTACTGATATGTGGCCGTTCTCCCCTACTTCTTCTTCGGATCCACTGTTGAAAGGAACAACAGCTGATAAAGATTGTGGTGACCGTCGCGAGATTGAAAGTGTCCTTCGTAAGCGGTTGAATACTCCATCTCGACTTCGTGATTGCCTACTCTCGGCTCCCCCTCCGGCTAATGGTGGAGGTGGAGAATGTTCATTATTCACCCCAATGTGCCTCCTGCCTACAGAGACAGATCTAGAGTTCTCAGCCAATTCAAAACAATCATTAGGCTGCCTGGAAACAAAGCTATTTGCACTGGCTCTTTTCATCTTGCAAGAGCGGAATGGAGTGTTACACATCTGAGAGATATATATACAGAGGCGCTAGCGGTTATTGCGAAATTTTTAATTAGGTAATTTGTTTCCCTAATTACTGCGTAATTGGAGCGATTCGATGTCTTTATCCCCTTAGATTCCTCCAAGATGATGCTACTCAATAGAATACTGACATTTAAAATGCATCTCTGATGCCAGTCTAATAGGATAAGAAAAACATTTCCGGAATTCCTCTTATTTGTAGCTTACCGTGTACAAATTAGTGAAGAAGACCTTTTCAGTTTGAGCGAAAATTGGTACATTCTCTTTGACGTGTCTTGTCGACTTTTTCGATCAATTTTTGCGTTTTTAAGACTTATTAAAACTATTAGAAAATTGCCATGGATCTCCTCAAATAAGATAATATCCCCGAAATATCAGGTGTTTTTGACGAACCTCTATTGATTTACGAACAATCTAGTTGTCTAATTACATTTTCATATGAAGTAGTCAATTAGAGGACTTGGAAGTTTTCCTGGGCTAATTAGCGGAGGTAATTATCGCTGGGAGTTCAAACAACATTACGATCAGTCGAATGTTAAATTGCTGCACATTTCAGTTTAAGCGATGGAATGATTTGTATCATCAAAGCGAAACTGATTCCCAACATGATTCATCCCTGAGCTAAAAGACGATGCCATGGCATCAATAAAAATCTTCCAAAGTGGGAACACACAAAACAATTCTTTTTCACAAAAATTGTAATCAGTAATTAATGGTAGTATTGCCACAAAGAAGTGGTATCAAGGCCGGCTATCCTTGGAAAGTTTAAACGCACTATTCCTACCTCGAAAAGAGGTGTAGTTACCTTGTTCGTTTTAACGCTAAATGGATTTCAATTACGACACAATTTTGAAATTGGATCTGAATTGAAAACTGATTGATCAAATAATCAAGGTAAAGAATCACAAAATGAAAAATTAGGAGTGCCAACTACCCTCCCTTCCCAGAAGGATTTTCGATATTTGTTTTTCGATTAAACAAAGATGTTGTTGTTTTTCCACCACGATTTGGTTGTTTTGCATCAATTTCGATCACGTTCCGGAAAAACCTAGCCTTCACTTTGCTTCTCTCGTCACTAAGATTGGAGTTGATTGGCATGGCATAAATAACAGTCTATCCAAAACTACTGAAGATGGGGATAGTAGATAGAACTCTCAGCCAACAATTCAAGCAGTTCAACAAACTTGGAACGAAGCTGACTTTCTTCGGAATTGCAAAGATGAAAACGAAAAGCCTGCAGATCTAGGGTGCCTTATAGTTGTTTCAGGGACGTGTCAACCTAGCCTCCACCAGCAACCAGAGATGCGCGAAATCCTGTACAAAAGATGTCGATGGTTTGACGAAGATCCTCAACCTGCTGATGTGTCTTCATCGACCTCTTCACACCAGCGCAACAGATCAAGAACTTCCCCCAAACAACTCTTCCAAGTAGCGAAATTGCGCAAAAAGGTTTTACGTACCACTGTTTCCCCTTTGATGGAAGTTGAAAGCGACTTTGGTCCATCACAGACACAAGCTGCCTGAAATAACGCTACGCAAGTTATAGTACAGGTTAGCTTTCTACCCAACCTCGTCCCGAGGGAAAAGCGCCCTGGGAACGAGGTTGCTTTCCATCCGGATACGTTCCCTCTAACGCGATTGTTCACATCAACAGAAAGCTGGAATTGCAACCAGTCGCAGAAGTGACTGCTACAACTTTCACAAAGCCTGGCACTATCTCAAGCTCCTCACAAGTTGCGTTTCAACGACTTCCCGCCTTCCGATTCAGTTGAAAGATCTTGAACATCTTGCAGGGAACAGGGATGTTTTCTGCTAAATCTTCTGCTTGATCAAGATCAGTGATCAAGCCGCGTCTAGTAGATCCAGAAACAAATCCTGGCTGCATAAATCTTTAGCCCAAAAGTCATTGGGTTCTTCGTCAGCTGATGAAGAATTCAATGAATTTTGAGTCAAAAATTTAAGCAGCCAAGATGTTCAAGACCTTTCAACAGAATCGGAGGGAGGCAAGTCATTGAAAAGCAACTTGTGAGGAGCTAGAGATGGTGACAGGCTTTGTAAAAGTTTTAACGGTGCAAAATTTAGTTTGTGGCACCTCCGAAACAGACTCAAGGAAAATCTACATACAAGGAAGAAATAAAAGAGCGTTATTTCTGGAGGATAAGTCATTAAGAATGCAAAATCTGAGGTGGTTAATGCTATAAAACTTTTTGACCCTGAAAAACCATCGAGCCACCTTAAAACAGCAAAATTTACTCAGAACTTTTTCGACTAACTTTCTCTTTACAAAATATCTTTTCTGAATCTGAATAACATAATAATCTCATATTATAACGTAAGAAAAGTGAAATTGTTAAAATTACATCTGTTAATACAGGAACAAAGTGTGACTCCTTTTGATTCCGAAGGGATTGCATTCTGTCAATACTAGGGCTTAGTGCATAATCGGGTACTGTATCTCAAAGAACCTAACTTATTATTTGATGCAACGAACAATATTTAATTGGACAGCCCAAATCATTATATCCCCCTTGTTTTGAAAGGTTTTATTAACAAAGAAGCAAATGCGATTTGGTGAAAAAAAAATTCTTAGCAGGTTTTTTTTCTGAACACATTTGATAACTCCACCCTTTTAAATAATTAGAACTCTATGGTCTGTAGTCCAGTATCGGTCCAGGTCACTGGGAACCCTTCAAGCAAAAACGAACTTGTTTCATCTTGTTTGTCCATTCAATATCCCCATTGGTCTTCATACTTATAGAAAAAACGTGTATCGCGGAACCTCGCGAAGCTCGGGGGAGGAGGGCCGTAAAATTTTTAAAGGATGGGAGAGAGGGAGAGAAAAAGAGTAAATTGTGTAACTGGAGAGGGCGGGTTTCAACAGCGGCTGTAATATTGGAAGCTATCTCCTTTTGGTTGGTGCCGCGGTAAACTCGAACTGAGTACCCTGGCTTTAAAAAGGATATGGGATTTTAAAATGGGGTTGATATTATTAAGGCAGCGTAGCCAAAGTTGTGTACGTCTCGTTTTCACCCTATTTGACCCTCCTTCATGTGTAGTTATTGTCAAAGGAAGTAGGTGTGAGCCTGGATGACTGCAGGCAGAAGCGGATCCAGGGGAGGGTCCAGGGGGGTCTGGATCCTAACTATCAGATCTAACGCTTGTTTGAGACAGGATCGTATTGGTTTTCATATAACATATCTCAATGATCTTCCAAATTGCAAATAAGATGCGGAATGTATATTTTCGCCAAATCCTCTGGCATTTTATATAAAAACTACAATCCTAAAGTTTCCAAAAAGAAGATCAAACCTTACCTTTCCTTTTCGAGCTCAGAAACAGATGGCAATTATTTAAACTAATTGATTTTTGTGAGTTATATTGGTATATTTTTATATTAGTTATCTCGCATTTCTAATTGAAGATTAGAACAAATGGACGTATAAATTAATAAATAAATTAATGAAATTCTTTCAGCAATTGACAACAGTTTTTGTTACTGGAAAATGTGAAAATTTTGGATCGACCCAGTTATTATATAAAACGCGTCACTTTGTGCTGGCCACTTGAAATGTTTGTGGCACTATTCAAATCATTTCCAGCGACGCTGTTGGACTTTGGTTCCCTTCTTTCTCAAATTTGATTGCAGCCCCTGCATTTCCAGCTAGTTTCGGCGGAGTAAACTGACTGATCTTCATGGTCTGATTTCATCAGCACCTCTGATGGAATCAAGCCAGGAGGGAGAGGAACACATTGATGATGTGATGCTCGTGTCCCCTCTACTACTGAGATGTAATTATTCTCTAGACTATTTCTTCTTCGGATCTACGGTTGAAAGGAACAAGAGCCGATAAAGATTTTGATGACTGTCGCAAGATTGAAA